GGTATTTATTATTTTGATAATATTTATTTAAATGTATCATTTATTTAATTAATTTTTGCATTGGTTTTTCAGTTCAATTATACGTTCTGGGTAATCAACAGTTAAAAAGATACTGTTCAAATTATTATTTATTTTAAAGTTCAATAAATGGATGTTTTCAAAGTCAATGAACAATCATNGGATGTGACACTTATTTGATTAAACTTAAAGGGGAGTGCGAATGAACTTTTTTATGTATTTTAAACATAAATATGTGTCCCCGGTGTGTCAGGGAACTCAAAAAGTGTCAGAAAACAAAACCCTCTCTCTGAGTTCCCTGACACACCGGGGACACATATTTATGTTTAAAATACATAAAAAAGTTCATTCGCACTCCCCTTTAAGTTTAATCAAATAAGTGTCACATCCCATGATCATGCACCTTTTTCTTTGGGTGGGCTACAGTGATTTTACATCTGTTTTTTAAAGCTAAAACAATTGACTGTGTGCCAAGTTAACAGTCTCTTGAGGTCATCCTGTCCTCTAGTTTCCTGAGTGTGTGAAAGTTATCAGCACTACCTCCGGCTCCCCATATGCAGCATCACCGTGAATCACTCGTAATGCTGATGAACCTCAGCTCGTGCTGGCAGATGTGGAGAGTAGCAGTTTCATTATGATGTACAGTAAGATGGTTACTGGAGAGAGGAAAGACAGCAGGGATCAGAGGAAAGAAAGGACCCCATAAGCTGGATATTCACAGCCTTCTGTATTTATAAATAACTCTGAACTTGCCATTCGATTTATATTCTGTTTGTTTCATCCATATATGTGAAAAAATTAGGAGGTTGCTTTCTTTGCTTCAATTCTGCAGCCACCATGGCCTCCTCTTTATAATTGATCAAGTAGTGCATTTCACACAAACAGACACACACACAGAGAAATAAGCATGACAAATACATTTTAACAACGTATTTCAATTTCAGCATGCAGTGTATTATCTAGATAAAACCTGTGTGTGTGTGTGTGTGTGTGTGTGTGTGTGTGTGTGTGTGTGTGTGTGTGTGTGTGTGTGTGTGTGTGTGTGTGTGTGTGTGTGTGTGTTGTACTAGTCATGCTGAATGTTGAGGTCTTTGAAGGCTGTGTTTTTCGCACCATCAACCTGTCTCTGAAATATTTGTTTTTCACTTGGGTTTGGTAGCTCACCGATCTTTGAGACATGGTAAGTTGTTGATACATTTAGTGAAAAAACTCATTCATTACATTCTTGCACACATCTATTTACATATTGATCACAAACAAACCACTATGTTTGTACTATCTGTCTTTCACCGGATTTGTGTTTTCAGACCAGATTTAAGTAGCATTTGTTATTCAGTCTTGCTCTTTGAATCATTTTCAATCCATGAAAGTACATGAATGCAAAATTATGTAATTTGATGTGAACATTTCTTTGTTTAACTCTATTTTTTCTTTTTTGTCAACAAATCCCACAAAAAGACCAAAGATTATGTGCTCGTCCCTCTTTATTTTCTCTCTCCCCGTTTGTGTTTCTCAGCCAAAAGCTCATTGTACTTCTGAAGACATACATCTTTCTAAAGGGGTACACATTTTAAGTATAATTGAACAAAAGATGCTCAACAATTGCCTTAAACAACTGCTGTGTTATTTGGCCTACTTCACTTTAAAGTAAATTTGGTGGGGCCTATTTTAAGCTGTGGGTGAATACAAATCTTGTGGAATGTATAGGTCGTGTTCCGCTCACAGTTTTCGCTTGTCCAGAGACATACGCTCTGTTAATGTGATACTGACAGTGTGAGCGCTGGATGAAGTAGCAGTCGACCAATCGGAGCTTTTAGCAAGGACTAAAATGGAACGTTCGATTTTTTACGTCGCTAGCTACCTGGCTAAATATAAAGCAACATCCTTGTGCAACAAGAATAGAGGAAATCCACACAGCTATGCTATAAAAAATGAAAAACCCTATTTCTGTAAGAGCTCCTAGAAAATGTTACTGCACCTTCAATCTCTCTTGCTGACAGGTTAGTACAAAACAGAAGAAAATAAATTCCCATGCAACAAGTGTCACGCAGAATAAGCGAAGTTTAGCATGGAAATTTAATCTGATTATCATGATATGTCTATCTACCAAGCCTACAGGAAGAGCACCAAGCTTTGAAGCAGTCTTGTAGTGGCAAAACGGTGGAATTACCGTACAACTTCCTTTCAGTCAGGTATGCTATGCGCTCAACAACAAAAAAAATTATCCCCATTGACATTGGGTAGAAGACATCTGTAAATCAGAGGTTTTTTTTTCAAGATAAATCTACTTCTCAGTATGAACGTTTTAACAGCCCTTTTTCAAATCCTTAACTCTATAAAGTTGTGAAATGCGCTAAAAGTTGATTGCAGGGTTACTTTCTCTCCGTTTATATGTCTGAGCCCAGAACCAGCTAGAGGCAGTGGCTGGGAGGTAGGGTTTTAGGGTAGGATTAGGATTGCCTATGCTCTACAGCAGGGGTCGGCAACCCCTGGCACGCGTGCCAGCATTGGCACGCGGCACCGTAACCAGTGGCACACTAGGAATAAGTGGAATAAGTGTGGAAAAATATTTAAATTGTATTTTCGGATCCTGAACGAGACCGCCGCCAGAGTGCGTCTCCCCGTTACCTGCAGAAGGAAGCCATGCACGCAACGCAGCCCCGCTCTCTTTATCTCCAGGTGACATTCTGCCGCTTTCCTCCGCGGTGCAGTGCTGATCGTTTCACCACGGAGGAAAGCACTTCACTAATTGCAGTACCCATAAGGAGCTGTACAAATGCCGCAGTTTCTGCGTGGCTGTGTATTTAGTTGAAAGCCCAGTGGCGATCTGCTCATCTCTCATCGACATAATATGCTACAAAGGGGCGGACTGGCCATCTGTGTGTTGAACTTTCCTGTCGGCTCCCAGACCGTAGTCGAGGAGGGCAGAAGCAACAAGCTTCAGGTTCAATAACCCACTTTAGAGAGAGGCGAGCTCTTCTTGGGAGGCCGTTGCATTTATTTAGCTGTTCTTCTGTTTCACAAAATACATCACAGACCTCTGTTTTTCTGCTTCCTCGTTTCATTCAAGAAACATCACGTTCTCTCCATAGGTTCTCTTCACTTGTCGCTCTACCATCCACAAACAAGCAGTGCACAAGCCACACCCTCTCTCTCTCTCCTTAATAGGACAGCAATCTCATCTCACTCTGCATGACCCTAATATCATAACATGTGTGCTCTGGAGAATCACAGAAACGGACGATATCCTTATTATAGCCGGTTTTAAACCCAATATTTAAATGGTTTGTTAAATTCGGCATCCATGGAGTGCGCTGACAGTCCACACACTGCTGCTTCCCCGCCTTTCGCTGATAGGTCTTCAACCCCCCGCCCTGCCGGCCGGCCGGGCCGCCGCCCCGGGCGG